TATAAGAACATCAAAACAGGACAAGGGGAATAACTTTTTTACCTTGTTAACCTTTTTATTTTGGGAACTGGACTTCTCCGTTTTCTTTTTTTTTTTTCTCCCCCTTCAGTTTTTTTCACTTTTACGTAATGACGAATGAAATGAAAATACGTTTTACGATTTGGATTAATGCTGGTTTAATGATTCAGGCGCACGCAACGTTAATTAAAATTTTATCAGCCCACCCCTCTGGCTGTTATTTAATTATTCAACGTGCCATTACGTAGCGTATCAAATATTAATTGGTGTTTTCAAAGTTTAATGATGAATGTGATCAAAGTTTACGGGAATGGTAGGAGTGGATAATTGCATTCGATTTATCTTGGCTATTGGCTGAATCTAAGGGACAGGTTGACTTGAGTCAGTTGGAAAATTCAGTAGTATCTTTTTTTTTTCTTTGGAAGAAATGCAGAGCATTTCGATGGATTCAACTGCATTCGGTATTCAATGAGGGGCTTTGAAACAGGATGGACAAGGGGAGTGGGGTGTGGTAGTAGAGAATACTCAACAAACGTAAATTGCCAGGAAGTATGCAATGAACATACTGGGATTCGACGAAGGCCTCCAACCTTCCTGCCCCTGACAACCAGGAAAACTTGCCGCTGGTGGTTAGAGCTGTATTGCCCATCGGAACTTCCTAATTCATTGTTGGCCTTTCCTTGTTCTGGGATTGAATTCTGAGGAAACTACGGGAAAAGCTTGTAACTGTTTTATCAGGTTGGGGAGTGAAGAGAATGTAGCAATCAAAATCTGATGGATCGCTGTATTGTTGGATATAACTTTTGGAATTGGTCATTGTTTTCGTTTTAGTGCAGGCTGAATCGATGAAATTTCTCACCGTTCGTCAACCATTCGCGCGTTGAAATAATTTTCAGTTGAGGGTAATAAATAAATAATTCCAATGAGGCACTTCTACTCCCGTTTTATTGGATGATTTATTAAAATGCCAATGACAGTGTTGCTAGGCGATGAGGAAAGAGCACGAGAAGTTGGTATTATTCTTACTCTTCATTTATCTCCAGTTGTTTCATGACTCGTGACAAATGTTGTAATCGTGCGTCAGCTGTAATTACACTTTATTCTGGACTTGATGATGGCTCGGTGTATTATGTTTAATTGACGGAGACTGTTATGCAGATATTTATGGAGGCTGTGAGAGAATTGGATGACGAGATGTCGGCGGGGAATACTTTTATTTATACTTTTTTTTTTCTCTCTTTCTCCATCGTGAGAATTATTATTTTGCATTCTGAATTCATAGCTCTATTTCTCTTTATGCGATACACGGAATATGGTTTACGATTGGTTGTAAATAATAGTGGAGCTGAATCTTTATGATGTAGTGGAGTCCAACAAATCATGGGGAATCGGAATTTTTATGTAAGGCGGAGTTTGTCGCCCATCAAACATGAAAATATCTGGGATGTAAAGAGAATTTTGCTTGATACATGGCAAATATTGAAGGGTAAGGGGAGAATGACGAATGTTTGTCGAGTGTAAACAGTGGGTCATACGAATTCCAGTATGATGTGTCGAACTGGATCAAAATAATCCGAAAACAATGGAAAATATTAAAAATATCAGGGATTTTTATACTGAATTCCATGGATTTGTCACGAGCACCACTTTTCAATCCGGGAAATTGATGTTCAGCTCGAGTTTGAAATTATGACAGTTGACAATAACTTGGGAGCATACGGTGAAACTGAAAGAGGGACATTCGATAGTCGAGTGGATGAATGAGTGGATAAGCCGATTATTATTCACAGCAAAAATATTCTCAGTGGATTTTGAACACCTGGAAATAATAGGGCAATTGTGGATTTTCTCAATGATGGGACACGTCGAGTTTAAATTGTCGTGGCATTTCGACGGCTATTTGTCATTGGTATTCCATAAGAAAAAAATAATAATTGCTGTACGTGTGGTGGATTATTTCCGAGGTTGAAATAAATGCCTTCCTTTCGTCGGTGGGGAATGAAAAAAAATGGGTGACAGTCTTCCAGGCGAAAACAAATTGCCTTCCCATTCACATTATTTGACTAGACATTTTCACAAGGTGAACAAAGGGGGAAAAAATTGAATGAAGTGTAGGAAGAAAGTAGATTTCAAAGAGGATTGAGTGACAAGGGGCCACACGAGTGGAGTTAACTGTCCAGGGGTTTAGGCTAGAGTGAAAAAGTTGTGAATTTTCTCTCATCCGTGGCCTTGTAATGAGGGAGTGGGTCCTGTTTCAGGGCTTCCTAGTTATTAATTTTGTCGCAGGAGAGTTAGAGAACAAGATCTCCAACTCATTGCCTTTCCTTCATATATATATATATATATATATATATATTTTTCTCTAGCTTCTTTCATTTGCATCGCGTTTCCTCTGGTAGCAGACGGGACTCCTTGACAATGTGACTGGAAATCCTTTGAAATATCACTCCCCCACACACGAGCTCCTCGACAAAATTCATCCCGATGAGTTTACGAGATTTCTTTTGCCACTTCCCTCTAGTCAGATTTCACCGTAAACTTTGATCAGTGGAATTGCTATGGGGATGCGCTCTCTAACACCATAAATCTACCACCTCGAAACCCCTCGTTTGTACCATCAAACCCATCGCACTCGGGCTCTGAGTGTATTCCCTCATTAAACGTCAGTCTTGTAAAAGCTGTACTGGCTTCTCCCTTTGAAATTTTTCCACCCCTCGGCAGGGTGATTTTTTTTTTCTCTATCTCTCCACTTTCTATCTCACCTTTTTTTTTTTCGAGAGGGTAAAAAATCACTCAAACACTTCTACAACGCTCGACCTAACGGGTTATGTGTCACACATACGTCGACGATGATTAACCGTAGGTTTGTATCTCGTATTCATTCACACGAGAGATTTATATCCAGGTACTCGTACCCGATCATCCGTCTACCGCACGTCAATTTTCTCGTCGTAAATTAGAGGTTAAAGGCACTTTGTCATCGGTGGGGAACAACTATGGATGGGTCGTGATGACGATAAAAAATTTGAAAATAAAAAAAAAAGTTGAAGTAAAATTTTCCATGGGGTGAAAACGAAGGGAGAAAAATATGTGTTTTCGTGTATCACCCGGACGCAGGTGGACGTTAAATGGGTCCCGGTGATATATACACTTGGTGTTATAAAATATCATGTTTAATTTGGGGTGGGGATGAAGCCGGTTAATTGTACGGACAAATGAATCAGGTCTAATGACCATGGGAGTTGAGTGTCAGATAGTTTTTGCTCTTATGGGGAGGTGAGCAGCTGGTGGACGAGTAAAATTGTTATGAATGTGATTATCAGGCATTCATCAGGTGTCACTCGATTTCCCGGTGGATCTGTCCTCTGGAATATCCTCTTTTATTCGGGTTAACAGAAGATTCATATTTTATCGTGAAGTAGGTGCTTACAGGTTGATGACAATAACGAAATCCGATTTTTCACAAGATATACGATATGATATGTATTATATCTCTAAGATCGTATGCACCCAACCTATAATCAAAAATCGATTGTAACAGATCCGATAAGCGATTCTCGTGCATTGAAGTTGTACGAGCAAATCCACGGATCATATACTTCTGATGCTCTTGATACGTTGTAAATCCTCACTCTAATGGGCAAGGCTTTTCGATTCTTTCACGGATTAGGTCGCTATCCCCGAGTCAAAGAATTAACAGAAGATGTGATTTGGCGAGACAACAGAATCATTAGAATCGATTTTCTACTGGCTGTTCTGTGGGTGGGGAGGTGTTCAGTTGATAAATTCTCATGGAACAATTATTAAAACAAGTTGATAGGTTCACTTTCAAATTAAAGAGTGCGTACACCGAATTCTTTTGACAAATATAAAAATTGAAATATCTCGAAAACTTTGTAGGAACGCATTTCAAATTTTTGGGAATCAATTTACTTGTTCTTTTTTCTTTTTTTTAATTGACCATTAATTGACCGTCCGCACAACACACTTGGCCCTCAAACTTCATATTTATCGAACTTCGAGAATCGAAAAATTGAACGATTACAATGCTCCTATTCGGAAGCAAAAATGTGCAATTGATCGGGGAGAAATGAACAATTTCGCTATTTCTCATTTCTCGCTATTAGTTGCGTGACGCGTGAATAATAGACTGGAATCATTCTAATTGCATCAATTTTAGGGACATTAACTGGAAGTAGAGTGTCGGATATATCATGCAAACTACTCCGTGGAAAATGGAGGTTGTAACATGCAGATCCGGTGAAATACTGTCATTATGAGAAGCATTATGTGACAGATGTCAAGATGAAATTGTTTGTTAGTAACTGATGTATTTATTTGAGATAGCAACTACTAGTCCGGGATAGTTTTACATCGGATTTATGCGGAAATAGGGACTCCCACACAATTCGAAAAAATTTCGCAATATGTCAAACTTTTTCACGATGATATGCATAACCGGAGGTGCGGTCGAGTGGTTAAATCCGCGGTTTTTCTGTAAACCACTTTTCCACTTCCCCTTCATCATGAGGAATCATCGTTTTCCTCGCACTCTCAACCATTTTTATTTCCCAACAACGAATAAAAGCCTTCTGTGTATCCATCGACGCATTTTCCTCGCTGTAATCCGAGAAAAAAAAAAAGCTGTCTGACCTAGAATCGGCTAATGGTCCGTAAACCTGGGGAATAAAAGTTGATTTGGAAATGCAGTGGACCTCAATCCATTTGGAGGGAATGTTTCCATTTTTTTGCCCTCCATTTTCTCGAATGTATCGGCGAGAAGCAGAAAATATTATTCAATGGTATTGGTCAAATGGGGCAAGAAGAGGTGTTTCGATTTCATCAAATCCATTAACAAAAATAATAGTTGAGGGGGATGGATGTACTTGTTCACCCCTCGGGAAATTTTTCATCGATTCATTTGAATATTTGACGTGGATGTTATATTTCAAACACTGGGAGGATCCTTCTATCGCAATTACAGGTCACATTATTGGCAGAAATGGCAGGCAATTGCCGGGGCTCCACCAATTTGCAGTCACAATTAATCTGCTGATTATTATCAATGCTGTCGGGCATGTTATACATTCGGAATAGACAAACACCGGTATCTGCGTTAGTCCAGTATTTGTTGGGGGGTGAAAAAATCATTGGCAATGAAACAAATGTTGGTTACAGTGGTCAGTTTGTGTGCTCTCATGGCGTTAATTACATTGAAAATTCCTAACAAATGTTTCAGAAATAATGACGATTTTTTATTTTTTTGTTTTATCGAACGGTGGTAGTATTCGTGTGCCATTAATTTCTGATTTATAACGGTGGGAATGAACATTATGCTAATATAATGGTGAAAATATGACTGAAATTTTCCCAACATTTCGATACAAGCTTAACCCGTTGACCTTTCAGCTTCAGGCTTCGTTAATTCACGTCACGTCTCGAGTACGGGGAATTATTGATTCTCGTCTCAGCAAAACGCTCAGCGAAGGGATACATATATACAATGTTGTACATGGTGTGGGGTGGAGAGGGATGTAATAAAGCGCGATATACGAGTTGATCGGAGTCCCGTACTTTTTGGATGAAAAATTGGATCTAAAGGAGAAATTGCTCCAACGAAGATCTTAATTATAATTTTCGCATTTATGGGTTTTTTTTACGGAGGGGAATAAACGAAGATTGATGAATCCGATATGATAGTACCTCAAGATTATTAACTTAACGGTGAAGGGGTATAAAGGGTGGTATTTATTATAAAGAAAATGAATCTCTTGGATTGAGAGATTTTGAAATAATGGATTAAAATAGATTGAATTGTAAATGTAAAATCATTCGAAATTCAACATTATGTAGAATTTGATAGCAATTTGAGGATGGGAGGGCACTAGGGTCGTGAAACTTTGAAAAGAGCCGAGTGGAAATTTTGTGAGGCACACGTTTGGAAAGGATTCCAGTCGTTTACGAGTTAAAGTAGTCGGGGTTATACCGGAGAAAGGGGGGATTTTAGATCCGGTGATCCCAGAACGACGAATGTTCAGTTTAACGTTGAGCCCCGAGGCCAATCCTCCCTCAGACACTTACAGAACCTTATACGGATGGATATTTCCCGCGATCGAGAGTAATGGCAACAGTGACGGTGGTTGGGGGTAATCTTTTCAATGTTACTGCAGTCCAACGGAATACTTATGAAATTTTTATTTATTTATTTATTGATGGCGTTGCCTGTTGATCTCATACACGAAAAATGGGTGACAACAACTACCAAGAGCAAATTAAATCCAAATATCCACCTGTATGTATGGAATTTTAAACGCAAATTGATAAATCGAGCTCGCAAAAACCCATGGGGCTTTTATTCTCGGTGCCCTCCTACCCCCCCTTTTTTACCCACCCCTACGGCAAGCGTCACAAATATTGCGCGTGACAGTGTAGGATTTTACCATTCGTTTGGTATTGGTTCGCTGGGTTATGTGCAGAATATTCGAAATATACCTATGGCTCAGGGTATTTCGCGTAAGCTATGTATATCCCTTGGTACAGCCGTATAGTTTATACCAATCTAATCCCTTTCCTCCGTAATTTTTTACCCTCAATTTTTTGTTTTTTGTTTTTTTTTTTCTCTTTTTTTCAAACCCCCGTATCCACGGAGTTATATCCTTACTCTATTTCTATTTCGTTTCTTTCTCTTTTCTACCTTCTGGTGTGTATCAACCGAGACCGGAGGTATAAGCCTTTCCCTCCTGCCCTCTAACCCCAATGGCTTCTGTGAAAACGACGGAATAAAACGAGAAACGACGCGACCAAATACCGTGAGTTACATCGGAGTTCGTGCCAGTGGTAGTACTTTTTGAATTGAGATATTTTTTCGATTGATAGATATCGATAATTCAGTCGTTGTCGTAGGTTTTGTCACGGATTTTGGTTCGTCGCTCGAGGGAAATTAGAGGTTTAAATTGTGTATTGGTTGGTTTATCCGATAGTAGATGAAACGATTTGGGGACAAAATTGCTATCTCAATTGTCGTGTTTGCGAATTGATAAGAAAATTCTCCCATCTTTTTCCACGCCATTCAATTTTCTCCCATCCAAGGATCATACGGTATAAGATGAAACAGGTCATCCAAAGGCAAATTTCATCCGCTACAGAGCTTATACATACGTTGGATCGGGTCATCAAAGCATCCACAATATAACAGGTCGCATATTCACAATAGCTTGGCAAACAGGGCTGTCGATAAAAAAAAAAAATGGAAGAAAAAGGGAAAATAGTGGAAGAAAAATTGAAGAGGGAGAACGCCCGGGGAATATTCCCCAGTGATCAATCATTCGTTGAAAAATTTTCAGTGTCTCATTAATTATTGGGTGTTGTCTGGGTGATTTTGTGTGGATATTTCAATGCCTCGGTTAGATAACAAGAGTGCGAGACGGTTTAAATTATTATATCAAACATGGTAAAGGGATCGTAGATTGTTGGTACGATTTGCACAGTAGCGTCAATCATGCTGGGTTATACTGATTGGTGGTATCCATGGAGACGGGTTGAATCGTCAGAATTCACTGATAATTCGACTGGTGGAAATCCAGGGTAACCCTGGGATTGTGATATTCCAGGGTGCTTTGGCAATCGAGGAGCCATCACTTATGTAACACTGCATTATGCACTTGCTCATCATTTCCCAGCGGACTCTCGTTGTAGTAAAGCTTCTGACTACCTTCCAACTCTGTTGACTCTATATATTTCTACCCTCCTCTTAATACCACGTGCTGGATTACTGTGCTCCAGCCACTCACCAGCAAGCTTGATGAAAATTCCATGGACTAAAGCCCTTTACGAAAGGGATCACTCTTGTATAAGAGATGAACTGGATCTCATCAGTTGCGTTAATGTATATTATATGCTAAATAATTTCACGTGTGTTATTACACACCGGGAATGTTATGAGACGGTGTCTTGTTATTCTGATTGTTCCAAGTCGAGTTGTTTCATGAGTTTTTTAATTAAATTCCAACTGTCTGTGTTATAAATATCTTGGTGAATTTAATGGATGGAATTATGCGTGGTAGTTTTTTCATCGTGGACTTTTATTTTTTTGCTGGCTCAGGGAAATGAAGAAAATTTTTTGACAGGGAGTTGTTAAGTTTTGTTGCAAGTGTCGTTAGCATATGCTTTTGGAGAATTGTGAAATATATCGGAGAGAAGTGGTAATAAAGTAGAGGGATTTTCTGATTGTCACGGGTTACTATTGAATTTTAATTGGAAAAAGCACGAGTTCGTGATTCATTACACCGAATGAAATATACATTGTGTACAATCGAAGGGTCTTGATACCTTGAATTTATAGACCGCCAGTCGTTTCGCAGCGATTACACAAATTGCACTGTATTTCACTGTAGAAAATCTTGTTTACTCTTGCTATTGAGTTGTCCACACAGTACAACCGAGAGACCCAAGTAAAAACAGTGCGCTCTCGTAGTTTGAGTAAATAAAATTCACGGAGTAAAAGTTCTCAGAAAAATCTTGGAAAATGGTAAAATTTAAAAGGAAATGCAAACAAAGTTGAAAATGAAATGAAAAGAGGGGATTCAGCCGATGGCATTGGACATTGGATGCTGGTGGAGAAGGTGGAATAGGGAAAATTGAACTGGTACTAGCCAGTTTGAAAACTCACAAATACCAAACAAGAAATACCGCAAATATGATATTTTATGTATATTTCTATTTTATCTGTAGTTGGGGTCTTTTGTTTCTCGTTCAGTGACAAGTCTACCAACTCCTTTATGTGGGTGTACGTGGAATAGTAGTGGAGCGTTGACTAGGGATGGTAGATAAAAAAAAAAGGGTATATAGAGTGTGAGGGTAGTTGGGGGGACAAAACAACTTGCACCCGTGTCACTTTGCCGCTTCTATCTTGGAATACCGTCGCGCACTACTTGCGTTGGCAAACACGGCTAGGGCTTTACAAGCTCTACATTTTTTTTTCTTCTACCACTGACGTGGCAAGTATAAAAAGAAATTCCTCGGGAGGCAAAAAAAAAAAGGACTGGCCTCTTCCCCTCAACGAGACGCGACAGCATTAATGCCGGTCTGTTTGGTATCAGATGGATATTGGTGGGTGAAATTGAGAAAAAATGTCAACACTTTTCTGATCAAATTCACTCAACCCATTGACCATCTTATCCCATAACATTGCGTCATCCATTCGTAGGGCTTATGCAATATTGTTCTTACAGTCAAATATATTATTCACTGGGTGATGAAGTAGCTTGTGAAGTAGCTACGGGATAACTCATCCTCATTTCGCAAGTGTCTGGGCTCTCATGGTGTGAATACTGAAATCCACGGTGTTCCTCGGTGTTACTTTTCCATCGGCTTACTCTCAAATTGCCAAACGATGTTGGTACGTCAAGCTAAAATGAAAAATCACGTGCAAAGTACCACTCTACTATCGCGTTGATCTCCATTTGCGACCTCTAAAAGGCTGACATTCTTTCACCCGTTGCACCATGATTCGACAACTTTATACTTTTCATTCTGATTAAAGGTGGGGGATTTTTTGTCTCATCCTCTCTAAACAGAAAATACTCTCTTATGTTTATACGTTGTCGTGTCGTTTACCTCGCAGTATGGAATCGACCGATGATGGAGTGAGTGCATGGTGTTTCCTCATCGGATAATTGGTGCGTTCTCATGGTTAATTGTTAACGCTTGAATCGCAATATTGTCATGAATGTCTCGTCACTCCACCACAAAAACTGTCGTTCATCGTTGGTAATATTAAGGGGAATAGTAGAGGGAATAAAAAAGATTGTTTGTCTGGTAATTGACGCTCGTTAGCGATACTAACTGCTTTCAGAATTGGTGCTATTCATGCGGATAGAGGGATAATTTGAATGATACAGCCCTATTCAGGCATGACGACTATTCGGCTTTCTCGGAAATAGCCTGTTATCAAATTATTCACATTTTCAAAAGCGGTAGAACAAAAAATGGATTGACAAAATAGGGGAATTGGGTGGAAATAGAAAATTGGCAGTCAGTGATGTGGAGTTGAGTAATTAGAATGCCTCATGAGCAAATCT